ACCGGAAGATTGTCAAGGAGGCTGTGCAAGTGGGAGTCTGATACCAATCCATGTCGATGGAACCACTCACACGACCGGACACCCCTGCACCCACCATATTCCATGGAATTGTTGCTGAGCTTGCAGATATCGACTGCAAGCTCCAGATTCTCCTTAGATGGCTTGGCTGTGACCGTATCTCTGCCGTGTGCTGTTGAGCTGGTACAACTTGGCATTCCTGCTGCTTCGGTGGGAGAGCCGTATCTGGCAAACGAAAATCTTAACATAAATCTTGAAAACAATTTATGATTATACCATTATCTGATTTTTTTTTTTTCATTAGCCAGTCTCGGCACTTACCTACACAGCCTCACTTGTTAGATAAAAGAACGCACCCTTCCCCATCACCTGGTTTCTGCACATGCCCTTAATTGAAGGGTTAATACTTTCTTATACATATTGATATTAATGTGCTTTTCGTCTCTCTCGGTCAGCAAATAAGCTCAGCGTATTAGTCGCAGAATGCTGACCCCAAACGAAAATCGTCAGGAGGGGTTTTTAAACCCCTTCGCAGGGACCCTTGCAAACAGAGAGGTAAAGTCTTCAAGTCACTCACTTTGACATACTCGGACGCATATTGATATAGAGAAAAGCAGTCGTCCGTTTCTCCCGGGCCATGGCAAACAGACTTATCGTCAGCCCAACCATCTTCATTATCACCAGACATGGCGTCAACCCTCAGTCCAGATAGACTATCAGTTCAGAATGCACCCCCTCGGTCATCACATTCATCATCACCTTCACTTGGTGGTGAAACTTTACGGTCAAGAGCAGACTCAACTATCTCTTGTGCAGACACTGTTGTCAGGTCAAGAGCAAACTCTGCAGCTACCACCGCCAAAGCTGTATATGATGACGTCTCAGTGGCAGACGCCTTGAATCCGGATGCTCGGAATGAAGATGATTTCATCGTGCAAGATAATAAGTTTGCCTTCTCACCCGGCCAGCTCAATAAGATGCAAAATCCGAAGTCCCTGGCTGCTTTTCAAGCGCTTGGTGGCTTACATGGCCTGGAACGCGGCTTACGGACCGATTTGGTAGCTGGGTTGTCCGTAGATGAGGGTCACTTAGAAGGCGCCATTAGCTTCCAAGAAGCGACGTCGCCTGGGAACGCCCACCCCAAACAACAGCTACCCTCAATTACAGAGAGACCTGCATCCGAAACCGACTCACAATTCCAGGATCGCATACGCATCTTCAGCCAAAACAGATTGCCTGCTCGTAAGTCGACGGGCTTTCTAAAACTGCTTTGGCTTGCATACAATGATAAAATCATTATCTTGCTTACTATCGCCGCTATTGTATCTCTGTCTCTGGGTATCTATGAAACCGTCAGTGGAGGCGCAGGGGTCGACTGGGTCGAAGGAGTTGCTATCTGCGTTGCGATATTGATTGTCACCGTTGTGACAGCCGCCAACGACTGGCAGAAAGAAAGGCAGTTTGCCAACTTGAACAAACGTGTAAGTATTCTGTCTTGGTGTCTGTGGATTACTGTCTAACAGCCCTAGAACAACGACAGAGAAGTCAAAGCCGTCCGCTCGGGCAAGGTGTCCATGATTTCAATATTCGATATTACCGTTGGAGATGTTCTTCACCTTGAGCCCGGCGACTCTATCCCTGCTGATGGTGTCCTGATATCCGGTCACGGAATCAAGTGTGACGAGTCTTCTGCTACTGGCGAGTCAGACCAGATGAAGAAAACAGATGGATATGAAGCCTGGCGGCAAATTGCAGATGGTACTGCTACGAAGAAGCTCGATCCTTTCATGATTTCCGGTGGTAAGGTCCTTGAGGGTGTAGGCACCTACCTAGTAACGAGCGTCGGACGGTACTCAACCTATGGGCGCATCCTGTTATCGTTGCAAGAGAACAATGATCCGACCCCTTTGCAAGTTAAGCTGGGGAGGCTTGCCAACTGGATCGGCTGGTTGGGCTCTGGGTAAGTTACACAATCCTTTGCTTGTAGACAATATGGCTGACCTCTCCAGCGCCGCAATCATCCTGTTCTTCGCATTGCTTTTTAGATTTATTGCTCAACTCCCGGACAATCCTGGCTCTCCTGCCCACAAGGGAAAGGAATTTGTCGATATTCTCATCGTTGCTGTTACGGTTATTGTCGTCGCCATTCCTGGTTAGTTTTCTATCCTCACATTGCTGCAATAATAGGAATACTGATGAGAAATAGAGGGTCTCCCACTGGCCGTAACTTTAGCACTCGCCTTTGCTACAACAAGGATGGTCAAAGAGAACAACCTTGTGCGCGTCTTTCGTGCTTGCGAGACTATGGGAAACGCCACGGTCATTTGCTCCGACAAAACGGGGACTCTGACCCAAAATAAAATGACTGTGGTCGCGGGGACACTGGGACCAAAGAGCTTCGGACAAGACGACAATTCCAACTCCTCAGTGACCGCAACTGAGGTTTTCAAACAACTCTCCTCTAGGATGCGCGACCTGATCATCAAAAGCATCGCACTTAACTCGACCGCTTTTGAGGAGGAAAGGGATGGCGCGAAAGAGTTTATCGGGAGTAAAACTGAAGTAGCATTGCTACAACTGGCTAAAGACAACCTCGGAATGGATGTCACTGCTGAACGTGGATCCGCGGAGATAGTGCAATTGATTCCCTTTGATTCCGCCCGCAAGTGCATGGGAGTGGTGTACCGGGAGCCTACAGTGGGCTATCGACTTCTCGTCAAGGGGGCTGCTGAGATCATGGCCGGAGCATGCTCGACGAAGATAGCTGATACGGATGGCTCTGACGGCATCGTTGTTGATCAGTTCACCCAGGAGGATAGCCGGAGGATACTCAATACTATTGAATCCTATGCCAACAAATCTCTACGAACAATCGGGCTGGTCTATCGCGATTTCTCAACCCTTTCCAGCTGGCCTCCGAGCTATATCAAGACCTCAGAAGATGATTCAGGTGTGGCTCAGTTCGAAGAGCTTTTCCGTGACATGACATGGGTTGGTGTTGTAGGCATCCAAGATCCTCTCAGACCCGAAGTACCTACAGCTATTGAGAAGTGCCGTACTGCCGGTGTGCAAGTGAAGATGGTCACTGGTGACAACATAGCAACAGCCACCGCCATCGCCTCATCCTGTGGTATCAAGACAGAAGATGGAATTGTTATGGAAGGCCCTAGATTCCGCCAGCTGTCGGATGATGAAATGGACCAGGTACTTCCACGTCTTCAAGTTCTGGCCCGCTCATCGCCTGAGGACAAGCGGATCTTGGTAGCACGGCTGAAACACCTGGGAGAAACTGTGGCGGTAACTGGAGACGGTACCAATGATGGCCCTGCATTAAAAACTGCTGATGTTGGCTTCTCCATGGGTATCGCAGGTACAGAAGTTGCCAAGGAAGCCAGCTCAATCATTCTCCTTGATGATAACTTCAGCTCGATTGTAACAGCAATCTCATGGGGTAGAGCTGTGAATGATGCCGTGGCCAAATTCCTCCAGTTCCAGATTACGGTCAACATCACTGCTGTCGTCCTCACTTTTGTTTCGTCTCTCTACAGTAATGAGAACCAAAGTGTCTTGAGCGCAGTGCAGCTTCTTTGGGTTAATCTGATCATGGATACCTTCGCAGCCCTCGCTCTTGCAACTGATGCGCCGACAGAGAAAATCCTCCATCGCAAGCCTGCTCCGAAGAGTGCATCCTTGTTTACTGTGGTCATGTGGAAAATGATCCTCGGACAGGCAGTTTACCAGCTCGCCGTAACTTTCATGCTATATTTCGCCGGAAGCCACATCCTCAAGGATCATCTTAGTGCTGATAACGGACAGAAAGAGCTCGCCACCGTCGTCTTCAACACGTTCGTGTGGATGCAGATTTTCAATGAGTTCAACAACCGAAGGCTTGACAACAAGTTTAATATCTTCGAAGGAATGTTTAGGAACTACTGGTTCCTTGGAATCAATTGTATCATGGTCGGCGGCCAAGTCATGATTGTCTATGTCGGAGGTGAAGCTTTCGGCGTGACTCCCCTGAACAGCATCCAGTGGGCTGTTTGTATCATCTGTGCGATCGGTTGTCTCCCTTGGGCTGTGGTTCTCCGCCTGATTCCCGACAAGCCGTTCGGGATCGCGCTCGACTTTGTTGTCAGAACCATAGCATTAATCCTGCGGCCTATCAACAAGGCTCTGGGTTTTGTTGGGAAGATGTTCAAGTCTGCTGTGCGACCTATTCAACGGGTTACCAAGCGAGCATTCAACAAACGCCAGAATGAAAACATTGGTAGACCGGACGAAGAGGCTACCATTATGACAGATCTGAAACGTCAGCAAACCCCTGAGGCACCAACGACTTCGGTCACAGTGCCTCCGATTACTATCACGACCTCTTGACGAATCCAACATACGATATGGCTGTCACTGATCTGCCTCACGGCTGCAGGGCAGTTCCCCTCTGTATAATAGTTAACGAATGCACCACATGCATGTTATTGTACATACACATGAAGTGGCTGGGTGGTATGATGTCTTTTTATGTTGCATAGCGGGTGTTTTGTACTTTTGTTGGCTTTTAGATTAGCGCGCCCGTGATTTTTGAGATATACAGATACTCCCATGTAGATAGTTAGCCTGAACTTGTTTGAATCTGAATTTTGCTTTTCAATGCGTGCCTTGAGCTCCGTATATCATACCGATTTTCGCCTTCTCTCAGTGTACTTATGAGCTGATGGATAAGGAATCAGTACTGTGTTACGATTTCGTATGTATATAATATAGAACATTCAACAAGAACTCTTCAAATAAGTGACCAAACTTGAAGCAACCTTGGTACTAAGACCGCAGATGGGCGTCTATATAGAATGATTAGTACTTGGGTATACTGTGTAGTACCGATTTTATGCCTCAGGCGTCCAGACCCACCTCCGCACCGCCGCAACGCCGCCCACATCATCATCATCTCGAAGACATCCAGAGTTGTAACTCCAACTTTCCGACTTCCTCACTTCACACCGCCCAATTAGACCTGTGCATAAGCCTAGAAGACAGTCAGTACACCTTGTCCCTATTCCCCATCGGACCGGAAGAGCAACGAGCTGCTACACCTCCCGTCTCTCCCTCTTCTCCCCGCTCCCGTTACCGTCGGACTGGATAACGACGGTGCCTGACAGTGAATTGAACCTAGCTAACATACACACAGCTCCGGGCTCCTACTCGCTCAACCATATCCCGAGCTATACCACGGAAAGGTCAAGCACACTCCCTACCATAATCTAAGAACCTCCGAGCCAACTCAACCTCCTGAACCACACTCCGAAACAAACTAAAACATCCGCCATGGCTCAACTCAACTATCGCACAATCAACATCGACGTGCTGGACCCTGAGTCCTCCGTCAACTTTCCTATGGAAACCCTCCTCCCTCCTACCCTCCCAGCCCCGACCACGTCCAGCGAAGCCGCAAACGTCGCTTCTCAAGTGCGCCAGCTACTCCGCAGCGGGGACGCCGAGGGAGCTCTGCGCGCTGTCCTCGATACGGCTCCGCTAGGTGGGGATGACCGCGCAAAGGAGGTACATTTAGCTACCGTTATTGAGGTGTTGCAGGGAATTCGACAGGGCGAGATGATGAGGGTGCTGGAGGGGGTTTGTAATGGACAGGGTGGTTCCGAGCGGGCAGACTGCTTGATGAAGTATTTGTATGTTTTTTTTTTTTTTGTTTATTTCTTGTTTCAAAGGCATTTGATTTTGTGTTCGAGGTTGATTTTGAATGTCTCTGGGTGCTAATTGTTATACTAGGTACAAGGGAATGGCGGCCCCCGGGCCTAGCAGCGGAGCGCAATCGCCTCGCAAATCGGTCTCCCCGCAGAGCACCGGATTCTCGCAGATTCAGGCCAGGAATCTTGGCGAAGGTGGCGGTGGTCAGCAGATGAGTGTCCTGTTGAGCTGGCATGAAAAGTTGGTGGAGGTCGCGGGCACTGGGTCAATCGTCCGTGTGATGACGGACCGGAGGACGGTCTAATCCGATCGGATTGGGCTCTAGTTCTGAGATAGAGATGAGGGGATAGATAAACGGGTGTATGGGGAATCGCTGATATTCAAATGTTTTTCGTTCGTGCTATGTTCATACTTCGCTGTCTTCGCTTTTCTGCCCCCCGCAAATGGATGATATCCTAGATTCTAACCGTATAGTATACATACCGAACAACATATAGTCAACAAATTCCTCAGCTCATCATTGGTTAGAGAAATCACCACCGCCCAGAATATCCTTCAGGTTGACCTCTCCACTACCTCTAGCCAGAGGCTGAGCTTGTCCCTCTCCCTCCTTCCAACCGATCATGTAAATCAATCTGAACGTCGCGGGGATGCCCCTCGACCCTTCTTCCTTGTGCAATTCCCGGTATATCGCCTCATTAGCGAGCAGTACATCACGCGACATCGGTCCCAACTCCCGGTGCAAGATAGCATTGTTCTCGCCCATCGACTGCAAATCCTGCATGAGAGCAAATGTATCCGGGTATTCCACCACGATGTCCTCCACATCAACCGTGAGCATCTTGAACCCGGCCTTATTCAACAGTCCACCTACATCACGCACATCCGCCAGTGGCGAGACATGCGGACTCACTCCACCCCGTCGCTCCATATCCGCCAGCTGCAACGACGTCCGGAGCTCAAACAATGTATCACCGCCAAACATAGCCGCAATAAATGGACAATCCGGCTTAAGAATAGAGTTTACCTGTGCCAGCAGTGAGGGCAGATCGTTAATCCAGTGAATAGAGAGCGAAGACAGGACGGCATCAAATGTGTTCTCCTTGTATGGAAGGCTCTCGAGGTCGGGGATGACTTCCCGCTTGATAGAAATCTCCTTATTGAAGGGCTCGTCCGCATCACGGTGGAGAAGGGCTTTCGAGGTGTCGACACAGGTGAGGTTCGAGATGCGGGTTGCGAGGGGTGGTGAGTTTGGGTTGACGGGGTCGATGTCGGGCATTGTTAAGGCGCGAGCGATATTGCAGCTGTTTGCGCCGAGGTCGAGCACATTCGGGATGTCTCGTTTTATATCCTAGATCCCAGATCGTCAACCTCTTGGTTCTCATTGATATGGATGTAGTTGTGAAGAGACACACCAGTAACCGCTCGCATAGCCGCATGGCTACCTCATCTTTGATGTAATCTGTCTTCCGGCTCTCCTCGACATTCTGGGCCGCGCGGTCTTTCTGTATATGCTTTACTTTGCGGTTGAATATTTCCAGGACGGGGTTGCCGGGCGTTTGGCTAGCGTATGTTCTGGTAGCTCTGTATGTGAATGTCCGGGGTGAAAATACCGCCGGACGGAGGATTTGGCGGAGAGACATGGCTGTGTCCTGGGGGCTTCAATTGTCCTTTTTGGATCAAGTGAGAGGACTTAGAGCATTGCGGTTATGTGGGTATGATGATGTGTGTAAGGTCGAAGAAGTTGCGGCGGAGGTTAGATTTAATGAAAATGCGGGAAGTTTGCGGCGTGACGTCGGCGGAGCTTTCAGACTGAATTAAATTCCATTTCAACTCCGCATTTCGTGCGTTGTCAACAATTCCTTCCCCGCGGGCTTGCGCCCATTTTTACGAATTTTTGAAACTATTATGGGTGTTTGTGAGGAACGATTACGACCATATTGGTAAAGATATTGTGGATCCATTAGTGGTTGCGTATGTACAAATTGTTCTGAGTATCTCCCCCTATTGCGGTAATTGTTTCTGGTCGCGCTATTGTTTCCTTGGATTTGCAAGGCTAATGCATACAAGTTTAGGGCATGACTTACTTGACCATACGCGCTCCAATTTAGCTCCTCAACATGTCGCGTCCTTTCCCTTACGCCTACATCTCCTGTCCATGTGCCGACACCCCTGTTCCCGATCCAGCGAGGAAGCGGAGATCAAGAGAAACTTCCCATAAGTCCAATCCCGAGGACCCAAATGCTCCGGTTCCTCAAGATTATGACTTTGAAGATGAACGCACGTTTGACCCGCGATCTCCCCGGTCCAACTTTTCTTTGTACCCGCCGGAACAACTACTATACTGCGAAGACTGCCATCAGATCAAATGTCCCCGATGTATAACGGAGGAGATTGTATGCTGGTATTGCCCTAACTGTCTGTTTGAGACACCGAGCAGCATGGTTCGGAGCGAGGGGAATCGGTAGGTTGTTGTTCATTGAGGAGTGTATTGGATCACCTTTACCGAACGAATGCTAAGGAGGGCGTCGTTATAGATGCGCCAGGAACTGCTTCAATTGCCCCATATGTACTGCTCCACTCGCGGTTACTACGTTGGAGAATGTCACCGCAGGTGGAAGTCAACAGGGCCCGTGGGTACTATCATGTGGTTATTGCATGTGGACGACTTTAGACATCGGCGTCAAGTTCGATAAGCCCACCAACATCCGCACGCAATTGTCCAAGATGACGGACTCTTCCCGGGGTAGACAGATGTCCAAGACCTTCAGCGACCTCAAGTCCCCGCTATCCACATATTCTTCGATTGATGATCAATTCCCCTTGCCTAGCGAGATAAGAGGGGATGAGACCAACCCGGCCACCGAGCAATCTTCTGGGCCATTGAATCCAGAGGCGCGATTCCAGGCTCTGAAGGGTTTCTACAAGGGTCAGATAGCATCGACCTCCTCATCACCTAACGACCCCCTGGCTGATTTCGGAGCTGGATTCTCCTCCCCGGGGGCCCTGAACCGCATCATGTCCCTCTACACCTCGTCATCCCGTCTCGGCAATCTCTATGGCGGCACTAACAAGAAACCGAAATCCAAGCCCCCAGTCATGCGAGAAGCTCTTACAACCAGCGAAGGACTACGGGTGCCGGCGCCCGATACAGAAAATGCACTAATCCGACGCATGGCGTCCGACGACTGCGGATGGGACGGAATGGCTTCCATCGAACAGCGTACATTCCAATCCCCTGACGCACGATTCGTAGAAGACCTCCTCCCTCTACCGGTGCTACTTCGCACAAAACGGTCGAAACGTTGCAAGTCGTGCAAACATATCCTTGTCAAACCCGAGTTCAAACCGCAATCGACCCGGTTCCGCATCCGCCTCATCGCCCTCAGTTACATCCCCTTGCCAACCCTCAAACCCCTAGTCCCCAGCCCCTTTGCGGGACTTCCGTCCGTCACACCCGCTGCCGCGCCAAACCTGGATGCCCTGTCACCGCTGAAAACTGTGCAGCTCCTGCTCACCTTGAAAAATCATATGTTTGACCCGGTGCGGGTGACACTCGCCACGCCGTCGGTGACACCCGGGCGCGTGGCCTCAAAAGTCACCATCCTGTGTCCGCAGTTCGACATCGGCGCTAACAGCGACGTGTGGGACGAGGCCCTGCAGGGTTCGTCCGCTCCCGGTGACGCGCGCGCCTCCCGATCCGGCACCCTAGGCTCCACCGAGAAAGTCGCAGAGGCCGGAAAAGTGTGGGACAAGGGACGAAACTGGACCACCGTCGTCCTGGAGGTCGTACCCGGGACATTACCTGGCGGCGGTGCCACAAGACGTAACCGCATGAAACAGCACGATGATGACAACGACGATGATAACGATGACTCCGATGCCGACTCCGATGCCAATGTGAATGCCCTGGATTGGAGCGGACAAACTAAGGACCCTAACCAACAGCTCCAGCCCGATGAAGATGTCCTGGAGATTCCTGTCTTTGTGCGGATGGAATGGGACTCCGAGAACCAGATCGATCAGGAGCAGTCTGTTGGTAAGGGCCAGAACTCAGACACGGTCAAGAGGGAATTGGCGTATTGGATGGTGTTGGGGGTGGGAAGGATTAGTTCGGAGATGGGATTTTAGATATTGGTGGTTCTTAGATTGGTTGATAGATGATCTTCCCTTTATTTACGTACATACCCTTGTTGTTTTGAATTTGCTGGATGAAACTTAAGCCTGGTGTGTCTTGGACCTCATTCATTACATATAAATATACCCCTGCGGAGATATAGATCCAGCAGAAAGACTTTTAGGGCATACGAACTAAATCCTACTAAACAATAAGCTTATTCGGGACAAGAAAATAAACCACGTGCGCAGAGACCTCTACATGAACTACGGGGACCGAACCGGAAGAATTAAACCTGGGGAATAAGCGCGAAAGAAAAAAAAGAAAGAAAAAAGAGGAAAAGGAAATAAAGAAATATTTTTTGTTTTTCAACCACGCCGAACAACAGGAAAAGCCCGGACCAAAAGATCATGAATGATATTATCACATCACATCACATCCTCTTTTTTTCATTAGGGAACCCTAAACCCGAAGGACCAGATCAAGAAGCTACCCACCACCGCACAGCGCCCGCGGACGCAATGCACAACAAGATATTGCCGTTCCTCCTCGTCCCAAGTTTCCTTCTTCTTTTTTCTTGTCTACTTCAAGAAAGAGAAAAAAAAAAGACCTAAGCCCGCGTTCTTGTTCTCGAAAATCCCAGACTTATTTTTCTCTCATTGGCCTAATCACAGGAAAAATATAGAAGACTTTAAAAGGACATAAGGGAGAAAAAATTGGCATCTAGAAGTCAGAGGCGCTGCTCTGGGGGAACTCGAAGACGACGTTGCGGCCGGTCAAACGGCGGTAGACCTCGCCGTAGGCATCGAGACGGTGGTCAACACCACCACGCTCCTTCTCATCCAGGATGACCTTGAGGGTCTTGCTGCCGTCCTCCTTGGTGCGGATGCGCTTGCCGACGATCTCAACGGGGTAGACCAGGTCGCCGAGGATGGCGTCGTGGACAGCAGTCAGAGTGCGGGAACGGGGACGCTTCTGCTTCTGGTTGGTGCGGGAGTTGACAGAGCGCTTGGGCTTGGGCAGGATGCGGCGCTGAGCAACGAAGAGGACGTGGCGGTCGGAGAACTTCTTCTCGAGCTCACGGGTCAGGCTATTTTCGGCAAGTGTTAGTCTCGGGGGATATCTCAATCTGAAAGGACCAGGTTCTGGATATGTTCGTACCGCTGCTGGATCTTGTGGAAGCCCTGGAGGAGAGGGACAGGGACGAAGATGATGACAGCCTTCTTGCCGTGGCCGACCTCAACCTGTAATGATATCAAACCGTCAGAACAATTTTTGCGGGATAAGTTTATTCAATTGCGCATCTGTGGTTTTTTGCAGGTGCAGGCAATTCTCGTGTAGAATCAGAAATTGTTTCTCTGGTCGTCCCCCTCTTTCATTCTAGCCGAGTGATGGACACACAATCATCCTCCATTTAGATTGCATCGCCAGCTGACGCACAAGCACACATGGCTTGATTCCACCCATAGGTTCCTTCCCATTCCGACTTATATCACTCCTTCCCACAAATGACCAGAGACAAAATCTGATGCTGCAACGTGCGGTGCCAAATAGATCGGGCAGATCTTACCTCACGGGCAGAGACGAACTGCAGAGGACGAAGGGTGGCCTTCAGGTCCTGTGTGTTGCTCTCCAAGTCGAAGAGAGCGCCGGCGATCGCGTTCTCCAGCTCGGAGGGGTTCTGCCTCGAGGGCGAGTTGAGGGCGATCTTGTTGATAGCAGCCATTTTTGCAGACGAGCGACGGATAGCGGGCTGTGCTGCTGGTGCTGCCTTTCCTTGTCGCGGGTTGTTGGGGGTCGTGGGAATAAATTCGAGGATTGAAACAGAGGTCCGTCCAGCATCCAATTCTGCTCCGTTTGGTGTGGGATCGGAGGCTCGGCGCCTCGCTTAGCGACACGGCGCTTGTCCCCTCTCGGTTAATGCATTTCCATCCTAGGGAAAGCTTGATCCCGTGACCGGTCTGCCCTCGATATCAGGAACATCAAAAGGTTATCTATCAGTTATTACTTAGCAATAGGCTCCATAGAAAACTATACTCTACTTGGTGCAGATGCTCAATGGCATCCCACCCTATCTGTGATAGCAGGAGGTGACTGAAAAATAGTAAACAATACCCTTCAAACAGGGAGAATACCGAGTTCCTACCAGTACAACATCGGGGAAACACCTATCCATAATGATGAAGACAAACAAAGACCTCTCGCTGGATGCCAGAGAATCTGGGGTGTTAAAAAGAAAAGGGAACACAACAGAAAAGAGAAGGTGCCAAGACCTGGCATGAAGCACAAAACAAACAAAAACACAGGTTGACGCCGGGATATGAGAAACTACAATGATGACACACCATGCTTTGCGGCACAGCCCTAAACGTCCTAGGTAATTACTCTGTAATCAAACCTAGTCGCGAGATTGCTGCACGGATGAACAAACATTACGGACTGTAGAGCAGACACGCAGCCGAAATTAACAAGCACAACCTTCTTTAGCCGTGGCAGTAGACCGGTCTCCCAGGTTGACTCGTGAGTCCTCCGCCGGACGGCCACCCCCCAAAGTAGTCTGGCCCGTACCGGCGCCAGCTCCGCGTCCACTCTTCAAACTGCTCTCTGGGATGGCATTGGCAATTGCGGTGAAGACCTCCACAACGTTCACACCCGTCTTAGCGCTAGTCTCGAAGAACAGTAAGCCCTCCTCGTCCGCATATGAACTAGCCTCCCGTGTAGAGACCTTCCGGGCATCTCCAGGTGTGGCATCTTGCTCCTCCTGGGGTTCACCAGCCGCGTCATCTTCGTCAGCGGTAGCAGCAGGGGGCTGCTGTTCGCCATCCACCTGTGGCTCCCCAGAAGCTTCGTTCCCGTCGTTTGTCAAGTCCAGCTTATTGCCAACGAGAGCGATCACAATCCCGGGGCTGGCTTGCCGCTGTAGTTCGGCGACCCAGTGTTTGGCCTTTGTAAGGGAAGATGGTTTGGTGACATCGTAGACTACTAGCGCCGCCTGGGCGTTACGGTAGTACATGGGGGCAAGCGAGGCGAATCGTTCCTGACCGGCTGTATCCCAGATTTCGAACTTGATCGTCCGGGTCGGGAGGGAGCATTTTTGAGTCAGGAAGGCAGCTGGTATGACATCAGCACCGGGAAGAGGTTGCATTCGATTCCGCTCAAAAATCGACAACATCGGATCTCTTACCTCCAATAGTTGGCTCTTTGTTCTCTTGAAAGTCATTGTTGACAAATCGCAGAACTAGTGACGACTGTTCACGGCCATCCATTCATCCATTTGTCAGTCTTCCAGGTTACCCGTGTACAACGGCAAGAGGACGAAGGGAATCAACCGAGGCCGTACCTTTCCAACTGCCGCCTCGCCCAAAAGTACCAGCTTCACGCTACTACTCGGCTTCGGAGTATTTGTGCTAGTTGCCTCAGACATGACAGCAGAGCCCAACGGATGGGTGGCTATACACGATTAGGTTGATTTGCAGGGACGCCAGCACGGACAGTGATTATCAATCTCGTCGATGATTTCAGCTCGCCAGGGGCGGGTAAGGTCGACAAGAACTTAGAGAGCGGTAAGTAATCAGGGTAGCCTGAAGGAAACGTCAGCCTTGGGGACACGAGAGAGCCTAAGTTGGAGACCTGAGCAAGGGTCGCGAAAAGGAAAAATAGACAAATAGAAATTCAGGGTCACCAACGTATTGCACCAATACCAAGAGAAAATAGCGGTGGGCACAAGTGCACTGTCGCAAGGTACTAGGAAAGATCAATACCCAGTGAGGCGGAGGGAATTAAACGGTCGTCACTTTAGATGATGGAGAGGTCACCTAAATCCGGTTTAGCGTGGCGCCTTTAGCACGGTGGCAGTCACGGGATGTTTCCGCCTTGACGGGTTTCGAATCTATTCACTGACTGACATTTTGTATTTTCAGCGGGTAACCTCGGACGGTAAATATTAATTTCCTCTCCCCCAACGCTTCATTGAAAACACACTACATGATCTGTGTCGCCCTCTTCTCTCCCTGTTTTTATTTTTAATGGCTCCAACTCATCAATATTGATTGCACAGAATCCATGTCCAGTTCAATGGATGGTGAGACATATCAACTTCCAACTGGCGGAACAGTACCCAACTCTCAGTCTCCTATGATTGGCAGGAGATGAATCTTGCCAACGCTAGTCTGGCTTCCGTCTTTGAGGCATGCTGTCAATAATGACAACATATCATGCAGGCTAGGCATGACGTGCCAGTATCCTCCAACGAGGGTTCGTCGCCAGGGAGTTGGGAACCATTTCCAATGACGCCCGGCCCACTGGCGCGGACAACGTTGCACAGCATGATTTGTGCAGATCCCCGGGCCGTAGGCTGTAGCTGCCCAAAAGACAAACCGCAACAATAATAAGAACAATAATACTCATACTAAATGATTAGCACATGCAACGGGGGCTCGAACACCCTTGATGTTTGCACCAGGATCCACCAAGATAATGCGCTGCTTACAAGAATTCCAGCAAATCAGATGGCTGATACTCAGTGTGCCTCCGCAGCCAGCCCACCCCTCCGGGGGATAAACAACCTACAGCGGTGTCATGGCCTGTGACCCGTTCAAAATAGAATCGAGGCTTGTGCTAAACGTTATCTGTGAAGTTCGATGGGGAGAAAAAAAAAAAAAAACTTGAGCAGAAGTTTGGAGAAGGCACGCCTGTTTCCATTCTTAAGATGTGCTTGTAATATGATACACATGCACTCAGGACACTATCACAAATGTCCCGGTGATAATTGAACAAGATAATGAAATTAGTAGGAAAATGAAGAGAAAAACGGAATGTTTGACCGCGAGGTCGCAAGCTCTAATGTTGGTATCAACCCATGTATCCCAAAGAAATCATCCTGTCTATGTCGAACGCCGAACAAATCCAAAACCCGAAGACGATAGTGAGGGTAAAAAAAAAAAAAAAGCACTTTTGATGAACAGATCGTGGACCTGCGCTGGTTCATGTCGATGGTGAAATTAAAGTTGTAAAAGTAGAAGGATCGGGGTCGAAGGTCAAAATGGCAGCAGCCATGAGTCGGAAAGTGGTAACGAGCGTGACCCCGAAGAGGCGTATTAAAAAGGTTATAGACCCGAAACCAAAAAGGTGGACAACGAAGCGAATAGAGTAATAAAACATAGTGTTACAGGAACTAAGACATCCCGTTAGCTCTGAAACGGACAGTTGAGAATTGGGGGGAAAGTCCACTTACAATGAAGATCGACTTCATCAACACGTGAACTCCGCAGACCATGGCGCCAATAAAACCACAAACTTTTCGCTCGAAACAATATAACATGGTGTGGTTAACCGATGCCTTCATGGCATTTAGTTGGACTGATCGGACTCGTCTGTTTGGACGCCGGTGGTATCGTATCCTCCTCGTCCCATTGTCACAGCTCGAATATCACGAATTTTCATAAGACTCTTTAAGAACAACGATAGTCAGACGTCACGTTCCCACTGAGATCGAATTTGGGACCAAGATATGGGAGAGGAATTGTGGGAAGGAGTACTCACTCAAAGGGTTAAATAGTGACAAGGAGTGCCTTGTGGCCCGTAATCTTCAATAAATAAAGTAATAAAACGCCGGTGGTAAATATTAATGTGCGGTCAGATTATTGATCGATTATAGCGTCAAGCGAGGTACCCAAAAAATCCCAGACAAGGGCGGACGGTATTAATGCAGACAACAGATGATGCAGCTGCAGTTGAGATCGGAAAGGTGATCCTTTTAAGAATGTTCAATGCTCTGGCGCTGGGCAAAAATAGGCAGGGCAATGCAGCACAGACAGCGCCGACAAGTAAGTAGTAGATCTGTAAGGCAGGAATGTGACGCCGCTAAGATGACCAAGTAAACGGACTGGAAGAATGAGGAAGAGTGGAGCTCCAATCGCAGTGGATAGGTCGAATTTATTTCTTTAATTTTGTTTCTTAATTTCCTTTCCCTTTTTCTTTTCCTGCTCGAGCGCTTGCGATGTTGTTTATTGCGAATTGTCCTGGTGTCTTTTCAAATCGTGACAAACTGGCGCGTAGCAGGGACGTGCTGGATAAATATTGAATCAACCAATCTGATCAAACCCCGACCCAAGAAGCCAAAATGGATAAGACTATGCAATCAGCAAGGAGGTTGATCCTAGTGATTGAAGAGTGCCACGGAAGTAGAGCTCCGTCTAGTTCGGCGATAACTAAAGATCGAACGAAAGGATAGGGCGTTGGTAACGTCACAAAGGATGAGAGGACGTAAGACGAAGAGGACAGGGGCGAATGTACGAGAGGGAGGAGGGAGGAGGGCAGGGAGAGAGTTCCTTATAGGATTAAGGAATGAATGTGTGAGGCGAAAACTTGAAGGGGGGTTTCTGATATATGTAGTACTCCCGCAATGGCCTCAGTTTCTCCTTCAGTTATTATTATTATTCTTCTTCTTTTTCCTTTTTCTAAAAA